GCTCAATGTACAATCATTAATCCATCTCAAGCCTAATTCTCGTCAGTCTCCAATCTTCTGAAGCATAACGAACAAGTTCTTACATGGTGAACGAATTCTTACAGAGTGAATAAATTCTTACATGGTGAACAGTACAAGGGCATTCATCACAGAAACTTTCGGTTTTGATCATGCAATATGACCTATAAACCATCAGGTCAAATATGAATATTCATTTGATTTTTGTACTTGATTTATATGTTGATCCCACATTTCTCCTATTATTATTATTATTTTTATTTTTAATAAAATGCTGAAGTGGTAGGTAGATGCAAGATAAAGGTAGAAAACATAGTTTAGTGCTGTAAGAAGGCAAATGTAGATGATCAGATGATCAGGTGTGTGCCTATGGACTAAGTATTAATCCAGGCTAGACAAGGGCAGCAAGACATCCACGGATGCAGAAGATTTCTCTCAAAGCAGGGGGGGTGAGGTTCTGAGCCTCACCTCTGTTGATCCCCAAATTCTCACCTGATGGCCCCCCTGCGACTGTGCCTGTCTTAGGTTGTTCCTCCCTTGAGGAATCTTACCCGTCTCTGGCTAACCAGTCATCTTCCGGGGCCATACAGGGAAATGTAAAGTTGGTAAGTGAGAGAGAAGCCATATTGTTTGCAAAGGTTAGCTTTTTACTTCTTTGCAGATTTACGCCCTGTGGCTTCTATGCCCAGCACTTGTCTCGAGGTATCTTTACCACTTGGAAGAATTATGATACTCGGTAATTCTCGATATGAGGCACGAATTCTACTAAAGGGTTGTAATTAGGAAGGAAGAAGAAACACTAGTTCCTTCTTGGGGTCTCTGAGTCTAGGCAGGCTTGTTTTCATGACCCACAGTCGCGTACTCTGACACACACAATCCCAAGGTGGTTGGCAGCTTCCAGACCCAGGACGCCTGGGTTCAAATCCCAGCCCAATATCCTACTGGCTGGGTGGCAGCGACTGCCCCACGCCTCAGGTTCCTCATTTGTAACATAGGCAGAACAGCACCTACCTTAGGAGTATCACAGGATTAGATGAATCATCACACCTACAAGTGTACATTGGTGTTATCAGCATTATCAGGTTCAAATCACCTCACCTGTCCATGCCTGGGCAGGGCTGAGAGCCCTCAGGCCTGAGGCTCTGGGCAGTAACAGCAGGATGGCCAAGGGGTGCAGCTGGGCTGACAGCAGACCTGCAGGGCAGGGTCCTTGCCCCGGGCCATCTGGCTGGGGCTGAAGGTCACAGAAGCATCAAACTGAGCCTTGAGCAGCTGAAGCTGCTTCAGCGCCTGCAGTGCTTCTGGGGCAATCTTAGCCACACTCCCCAGAAGGTTGTAGTTCTCACCGGGGTCCTCAGACAGGTCAAAGAGCAGCGGGGGCTCATGGGCAGTCAGAGGGCTAGAAGCGTGGCAGGCGGGGTCCGCAGTGGTGTCACTGTGGGCAGAACCTGGGGGTGGGGGGTGCGTCTGTGCAGAAGGCAATGGGAAGGAAGGGCCAGGCTCTGGGGCTCCAAAGGCATCAGCAGTGCTGGGAGAGGAACTCACCCTGGGTGAAGAAGTGAGCCTTGTACTTCCCACTACGCACAGCAAAGACCCCATGGACCTCATCAGGGTAGGCCGAGTAGAAAAACAGAGACTGCCGGGGGCTCTGGGGGGAAGTGGGAGTCACAGGGTGGGGAAGGGCTCCTGGCACCGACCTGCACACACCCAGAGCTGTCAGCCCTGCCCCGGCCCTGGCCATGCAGACCCCTGTGCCCACCCAGGAGCCTCACAGGAGGGACAACTTGGTGGCTGCACAACGGAGGACCTGCCCAGACCAGGGCCTTTCGGGTGCTGGCCGTGCTCACTCCCACAGCCGGGAGGTAAATGGGGAGGGGAGGTGGGCAGTGATGAGTCAAGGCCCCTGGCTCTACCTTGCCTGTGCCCAGAAGCAGGGGGCTGAAGTCAACACCATCCAAGGTGACATTGGGCAGTGGGGCCCCGGTCAGGGATGCCAGTGTGGGCAGGAGGTCCAGGGAGCTGGCCAGCTCATGGGTCACGCCTGAAGGCAGAGAGCTGCACCGTCACTCCACGATGGTGGGGAGGGGCCGAGGATTCACGAGGAGAGGGCCTGAAGACTGACCAGGAGAGATGTGGCCTGGCCAGAAGGCCAGGGCAGGCTCCCGGACGCCGCCCTCAAAGGTGGTGCCTTTCCCACACCGCAGAAGGCCTGCGCAGCCGCCATGGGACATCCGCATGGTCTCGGGTCTGGGAACATGCACGAGTCCATCGGCCCTTCATGGGCTGATGGCTTAGGGTCTCTGACCTGCCCTTGCAAACCCAGCCCCAGACTCATCAGGCAGATGATGCGCGCAGCAACGGCCAGCCCTCCCTGTCCCTGCCCTGTCCTGCGAGGCCGGCACCTGCATGCACTTGTGGTCCCCTGGGGTCACCACAGGGGGCCAGCATCTCTTGAGACCCTCTTATCCCACTGGCCCTTGGCCAGCAGTGGAGATGGGGAGAGCCAGGTGCCCCACAGTGCATCCCTCAGCATACCCGTTGTCTGCGGTGAAGATGACCAGCGTCTCTCGGAGCAGCCCCAGGTCCCCCACAGCCTCCATCAGGGCCCCCACAGCCGCATCCAGCTCCATCAGGGAGTCCCCAAATGGTCCACGGCCTGAGCGCCCTGCAAAGCTCTGCCCACTGAACTGAGGGTAGTGGGTGTGCTGGGGGTGGAGACTGGAATTAGCAGTGGATAGGGACACGGGCAGCCTGGAGGGTGGGGCCAGGGTCACTCACATGGGAGGCATAGTACAAGAAGAATGGGCGGCCCTGACGCTGGGCATCAGCCATGAGGTCTCGAGCGAAGGCCAGGTAGCGGGCCTCCAGCCCAGGCAGCCAGGGAGGCTGCGCCTCCACAGACAGGTTGGCCAGCAGTGGGATGGGGACCAGGCCTTGGTCACAGCTGCCGTCACAGGCGGTGGCCGGCGGGAAGCAAGTCAGGTTCTGGCAAGGGCCCTGGGGGCGTGGCTCCATTCAGGGCTGCGGAAGGAGGTTTGGGGAGCAGGGGAAGGGGACAGGGGAAGGCAGAGAATGGCTGAGGCCCAGTGGCTCTTACCTGGTCATGGGAGTATGGGATGCCCAGGAATCGATGGAAGCCCTGGTGCAGGGGCAGAAAGGCCCCCTCAGGCCCCACCCCAAGATGCCACTTGCCAGCTATCCCTGTGAGATAGCCTCTGGCAGCCAGGACCTCAGCCAGGGTCACCTCCTCCAGGGGCAGGCCCCCTCTGGAACTGGGCTCCAGAACTCCAGGGTACAGGCCCATGCGGACCGGGAGCCGGCCGGTCAGGAGGGCGGCCCTGTGGGACAGTCACAGTCTGTTAGACTGAGGCGGCCACACGGAGGATGGGGGGCAGTGGGGGGAAGACAGAAATTCGAGCTCCTGCACAGGGAGAGCAACCCCTTACTCCCAGTGAGGCCCCCAGGGAGTCTGGGAGGAAATGGAGAAGCAGGTGGGGAGCAGGGGGTCGGCCCTACCGCCAAGCTCACCGAGAAGGCGTGCACAGAGACACGGGCACATAGAAGTCGGTGAACCGCAGGCCCCCAGCAGCCAGCTGGTCCAGGTTGGGGGTGGTGGAACTGGGGTGCCCATAGGAGCTCAAGTCCCCATAGCCCAGGTCATCAGCGAAGATCAGCAACACGTTGGGAGGGCTGGCAGTGGCCAGGCCTGCAGCCAGAGCCACCGTGAGGGCCCAGACTGGCACCATGGCACACGGCGCTACCGGGCCTTCCGCAGAACACCCTGGAGGACAGGAACGCGGGCTCCAGCAGCCTTGTCCCCAGACCCAGGCACTACCCTCCCCTGAGACCCCAGACCCAGGCAGCGTCCTCTGGAGACCCCAGACCCAGGCACTGTCCTCCGGAGACCCCAGACCCAGGCAACGTCCTCCGGAGACCCCAGACCCAGGCCATCCCCTCCCCGGACACCCCAGACCCAGGCAGCGTCCTCCGGAGACCCCAGACCCAGGCACTACCCTCCCCGGACACCCCAGACCCCAGGCAGCGTCCTCCGGAGACCCCAGACCCAGGCATTATATAGTTTCTGGTATAAATAGTTCCCTGACCCAGACAACCCCTTCCTGAAGGCCCAGAGGAATCAGCACACGGAAACCCCAGACTCCAACAGAACCTAGAGGACCGTAACTTGGGACATATTCTCCCTGGAGACCCTCAAGGACCAGGACACCCGCAGATTCTCGGGCGTATCTGACCCTCTTCACGCGGAGATCCTCGCCCCGGCTCAGGGTCAGCGGCAGAAGGCCCAGGACCCTACCCGCGGGTCCCGTGTCGCGGGCGAGGGCGGCAGAGGGCGACGGGCGGACAGCAGACAGCGGGATGCAGAGCCTTCGCCGGCGCTTCCGCCTTGGACGCCCCGCCCCGCGGCCCAGCGGCCCCGCGACTCGCTGCGCGGCGCAGACAGGCGGGGACAGGGCGGGGCCTTATGGGGGCGGGGCGGGGCCTGGGGCCTGCCGGGGGCGGGGCCTGGGGCCTGCTGGGGGCGGGGCCTGGGGCCGGGCGCGCGCTCCGCCGGTCCGCTCAGAGGTCCCTGGTGCCCGGCGGGGGAGCGCGCTGGGCGGACGGTGCCCGGCGCTCGAGCTGGGAGCTCGGGGGCTCCAGGCGGTCCTCAAAGAGCTGAGCCTGCGGTGCTCAGGGCGCCGGCAGTGCGCAGGTGGAGTGGAGACCATGGAGCCAGCGACTGCTGGCTTTTCCCTCGACGCTACTTTCGGTGCTTTTCTTGAAATACGGGATTAGGACATTCTTTCAAACTATTTCCCCTCCGTGCGTGTGTGGGGTGTGTAACGTGGGGGGTGGGAGGCGTGTCTGGGTTCTGGCCCGCCTCTAGTTACACCACTGGGAGGCACCCATCGGAGGAGGAGGTGGCTTGGTCCTAGTTCATCACCGGACAGCCCTGGACGGATGACTTCACCTTTTTGGCCCCAGCTCCGTTAGCTATTTCAAAGTAGGAGAGCGCCCCGGGGGGTGGTAGTATTTTACACCGTGTGTTTGGACGCCCCACGGCCAGTGCAGTGACTGGGCCCCTAGCAGCCTCCCTAGCAGCTCCCTAGGGGAGACCCTTCCCAGAGGTGCTTTCTGGCCTCAGGCTCCACAAGCTCAGGGCGCTCCTCGGGGACCTCTGACCTCAGCCAGAGAAGCGGGGGGTTTCTGTGATCGCTGACCCTGGAGGCAGTGGGAGAGTTGGGGGGGGGACCTGAAAAGGCCTCTGGAGGCAGGGTTGGCGGACAGTTTCCACTGAAGCCCAGTCCTGCCTGTGGAGCTGTCAATTTCCTGATGAAACCTGACAAGAGGTCAGTGTGGGGGTGCAAAATTTGAAGGACAGGGCCTCTCAGACACGGGGCTGGGCACGAGCTGGACTCGAGGCTGCTGACCTCGTGGGAAACAGAGAGGGCCAGTGTCTGGTGAGCAGCCCCTTGGTGTCACATTCCAGCGTGGTTTCTGGGCCTGTGCATGGGAAACAATGTGGGGTGGCTGGCCAGGACAGAAAGTTTCTCGGTGGCCCAGAAATCTTTGAACCTGTAATTGGAGCTATCACAGCTGGTTGGCGCTGTCAATTGGAGTTTAAAAGGAAACAACCAAAAACACTTTCTTCCCTTTCAGCTGCAAGCTGGACCCACCCCAGGCAGCGGAGGACCTGCCCCCGCTCTCAGAAGGAGCCTGCCTGTGGTTGTAATGTTTTGCGAATGGCTGGCACTTCCCCTGCGGTTTCTGGAGGTTGCTCAGGTGTGTGCTCATGGAAGGTGTGCCTGCCAGCCCTGACCTCTGGGTGGGCGGAGGGGCCGTGTGCTGCCAGTAAAGCTTGTTCAAAGCCCAGGCTCTGCAGGTGTCTGAGTTTTTGGAGATGTGAGACATTGCTTTTTTGGCATTGCTGCGGGAAGGTCAGCTTGGGACAGAGCCCTGAAGGGAGGCAGCCCACCAGGGTGTGGGAGATGGCTCTGGGTGCTTGGGACATTGCTACTTTGAAACTGACACCCCCAGTTAGAGAGGGGGCCTTACGACGAGTCTTGTGGGTCTTATCTGTGTGTACCTGGGACAAAGGATGAGAGAGGCTGCCCATCTCCCTGACCAGTGGGGGTGGGTGAACTGCTTCAGTGAGAACTCCATCCCCATGAACAGGTTTGGCAGTGGTTCCTGGGCTGGGCTGATGTGGGGACCCAGGACCCTGGAAGCCACCAGAGTCTGACCTTGGGTCTTCTCTGGGCGGCCACCACTCCTGCTCCCCACCTTGGCCCACCCAGGTTGCACTTCCTCCTCCTCAGCCACCCTGAGGCAGTGGGGTCGGCCTGTTCCAGAAGGGCTTTGCTGGTGGCCTCGGCCAAGGGGAGGGCGGCAGCTTGACAAAGATTGTCGCTTGGTCAGGTTTACTCAGACTCCTTCCTTGTGGAGTCCAGTTTAACAAGAACTCTCCACCCTGGGTGCCTGCTCAGGTTCTTGGCGCCTCCCCACCCCTGGGTGATGTCTGAGCTCCCTGGCTTGCCTCTAGCAAGAATCACGGTAGGTTGGTCAACCAGAAGCCACCCCCACCCACCTTGTTTCCTCTTAGTGATTCTCCATCCACTGACCCCTAGCCATGCTCCTCGGCTATTATAAGAGAGGAAAAAGCTTTCCTTGACCCTCATTACTTTGGCTGGGCCTGAAAATTAGACTGGCAAAGTTTAACAGGAGCAAAGAGTGCCAATTTATTTACTTTTATGTGTTTTACATGACATGGGAGCCTTGAAAAGAAAATGAAGACCTGAAGAAACAAACCTGAGTATTTTTTGCTACGTTAGAGAGTAGACAGCCATCTTCTTGGAGGAACAGTGTAGGTTAAGGGGTATGAGGTTAGAGCAGTAATCTGGGGGAGCTTGGCCGGCCCACTTGTTTGGATTCTTCCCTTTGTCTTTGGCATAAGGATGCCCCTTTCTTCAGGAAGCAGGGATGGACCCTCTCCCATGGGCTGTTTGAGGGGAGAAGGGTGGGGGAATGTCAGAGTGACCGTGCTTCTGCTGTTTCCTCAGGCCCTTCAGCTTAAAATATTCTATATGCACAGGGGCCATATTTTGGGGTAGCATGTCCTGAACCCCACCACTATGAATTTCCACTTTCCCATGCTGTGATCATAGTGGAGCCCAATGTCTCCTGAACTACAAAATTCCATCACAGTGGTCAACACCTGGCTTGCTGGTCCTGATTAAACCCTGCCATGCACCCACTGGAATGGAGGGAGGCAGAAGAGCTCCCAGAAAGGGGGTGCAGTTCTGAATAGACGTGGCCAGTGTGAGGTGGCATGGGTCTGTGTGGCACTGCCCTCCACTGGGCTGCCTCAGTCTCAGCCCTACTAACTGCAGATAAGCAGGTATCCCCCAGCCTTAGGCCTCTGAGCTTGCTGTTCCATATCAGGAATTCTTGGCCCCACATAGGCATGGTGAGGTCCTTTCCCTATTTCAGGTCCACTGGGATGCCACTTTCTCAGTCAGGCCCTCCCTGGCTCCCAAGCTCCCTCTCCCACCTCCTGTCCCAATGTGACCTGCTGCCATTGGGTCCCTGTAAATGGAGGACTACAACAATGCCCACTCATCCCCTCATTGGGAGGTGCAAACTATGTAAAGCAGACTTGACTTAGGCCCAGCAGGCATGTGGCAAGTCTGTATTATAATTTGTGTTGTTGTCATTATGTGGGTTAGGTGGCACTGGGCATGGACCATGAAAACTTGCAGACATGGAGGACCTCCTAGGCTGGGGAAGATGGGGTAGTCTGGGTGACAACAGGTGGAGAGGTGAAGATAACCTGTCAGTTGAGTTATAAGCATGGTCCCCAAGAGAACATTTCAAAGACACACCCGGGGTGACCCAGAGAAGCAGCCTCTGATTACTGGTGTCCACCTGTGAGTGGCACTCAGCTGAGCAGCTGACTGATTCCCAAAATAAATTATACCATTGTCACATTGCATGAGCATGTTATCAGGAATGCTAGTTTCTTCCAGATAGGAAGTTCTGCCCAGACCAGGTGTGGGACAATTGTTTCTTTCCAGTGCTTTCAAGGAACTGTATGGAGCTGAGAAAGAGCATCTTCTTCAGCAGATCCAATACTTGGTCCCTGAAGTGTCTGCAGGCAGCAGACACCAGACTGGTGTGCATGGCAGCCAGGGCACCCCACAGCAGTGCAGGTCTGGGTGTGGCTGGGTGAGAGGCAGCCATGCCTGCCTGGGTCTAAGGACTTGAGGCATGAAAGGCATGGGATAAACTAGGTGGGACACAGTCCCGCCTCCAGGGCAGGTCAGGGACACCTTAGACACAGGTAGAGAAGGCTCAAATAACAAAATAGTTGCACCATTTTGCAAATCTGCGTCAGCTAAGTCCTGCCTAGGAATGGATATTGGAGGAAGGTTACCCTAAACCAGACAGAGCTGATGGTGAGCATAGGTTCTGAATTCGAGGGGCTGGAATTGTGTTGACTGCCTGTGCTCTGGTGATTAAAACTAGGGCTCACGCAGCCCGTGTGGATGAAGCAGAGATGCTGGAAACTCCTTGGTTTAATGGTTTTGTTAAAAAACAAAATTCAACTGGATAAATGTGAAGATCTAATTGACTTGATTCAGTGAATGAGGCAGCATCCCCTCTAGCAGGAAGGAGCTCTGAGAAGCTCTAGACGTGGGGGTTTCTATAGCAGGAGGAGGTGGAGCAAGGCAGTTAAAGGAGTAGTTTATTTCAGGCAGGGTGGCCTTCCCTTCGGGAGTGCAGGAGGGCCTCCCACGCGGATGACCTCACTAGTGCTCATCAGGAGATTGCAGGGTGGCTGATTTAAAATTCTGCTCCGGGAAGAGGCTGAAACTGCAGTTAGGTGAGATATGAAGTCTTGGGGGGCTTAGCACAAGTGACTCCATTTGGGAGCTCGTCGTTTCTTTTTAACAGTGGAGAAAAAGGCACTCAAAGACTGAGAGGCAGGAATGCGTTGTGCTCCGTTGTCCTCTGACTTCCCTGTGAGAGCTCAGGGAACACTCAGCAAGACAGTAAGGAGTGTCCTTAGGAGTAGGGCTCTGGGAGGCTGGTGCTGTAAGGCGCAAGTGTGACATGGTGAAGAGATACTGGGGTGGAAAGGCTGTGCGGCCAGGAAGGTCACCTTGATGGTCAAGCAGTGGCTGTGGCCTCAGAGACCTTTGGCTCATTGGTCATGGAATCGCTTTCCAGGCAGCCCCAATGGAGGTGGGGGTGGTGGAAAGACCCTAAGCCTCAGGGATGTGGCCAGATTTGTCTCACAGTGCAGGGGTCACAACTTCAGCTCCTCTTCCAATTCTGGACATGAGTCATTCACAGTCCTTGGCCAGAGGGAAAGACCTGGTGGAAAGACCCAAGGCTGCACTACGTCTTCCTACAGCCTCCCTGCAGGAGGTGCAGCCTCTGGCCAGGACGCCATGCACCGGGGGATGGGGCACCTCGGGCTCCCAGGGCAGACTGCTGGCGACTGACTCTGGGCTAATGCCACTTACTGGACATTCTGATGCCCCACTCAGAGGTGGCCTTTGGAGGTCACGTGAGATATGCATTTTGGGCCACAGTTCATCTCACGAGGGACACACTGAGTGTGTGAACTATCTTGTATTAATTTCCCCAGATCTCAAGATACACAGAACAGCTGGCCAATGCAATACCTCCGGCTGATCTAGGCAAGGACTCACAAGGCAGGCTGCCCAGCGGAGGCTCCTGGAACTCCCCTCCTATGTCAGCTGAGGAAACACCTGCTGCTTTGACGGATAAACCCCCGAATCTCAGTGACGTAATACAACAGATGATTATTTCTTACCCACAGCAAGTCTAGTTTTCAACATGGGCAGAGAAGGGGAGCTCTACATCCTGTGTGATCACTGGGGACCCAGGCCAAAGGAGGAAGTGTTGCCATCTTTAACGTGATTTAAGGTCATCCTGGATGTCCGCATTCAGCCAAGCGGAGGGTAAGGGGAGAGTGTGCAGCATGGAGCAGAGGGCGTTTATGGGGTGAGGCCTGGAGTGCCACACAACACCTCTACCCAGATGGGCTCCAGAAGTCTGTGGCAGGGCCCTACATAGATGCAACGGGAGCTGGGAAATAAAGGCTCTGGTCTGTTGGAGCCGCCGCTGGGACATTGGCGTTCTGATTTGCTGAGGTCACCTCGGTGTGCTCACTGTCGCAAAAAGAGCAGCTCCGTAGGGGACCAGGACCGTGATGTTGGGGGAGTGTATTTCTAGAAGCTCAGATTAGACTTTTCTCTTCCAGTTCTTCCTGTGATTTTGTAGGCACTAATTCCCTGTATTAAATCCCTTTCTGCTCAAATTAGCCATCTGTGGGTCTGGAACATATACCCAAACCCTAGCTTTTACATTCAGTGAGAGGAAAGGTCTTGGAACTGGGAGGCCAGGGTGTGAAGGATCACTTATAGGCACATGGATGATGTCAGAATGTGGGGTGAGCAGGCAACCTGTGACCAAGATGCCAAAGTCCTCAGTGAATGAGATGGCAAGGTTGACCAGTGGAACCTATTTGATCACTGCTGTATTCCTAGTGTCTCATACTTCGGGGTGTATGTGTGTGTCTCTAATAAATGTTTTAAAATGCAGGATTTCCTTCTGTCCATGTACACATCCATTTAATATCTGCATAGCAAACTCATTAAACACTTACATGCACTGACTGCTGTGGCTAAATAAGAAAAACAGATTTCTAAACATGTGATCTAATGGAAAATATAATCTATTGCAAAACACTTGGACATGCTGAGTAAAATATAATAAGCATTCTTTAAAATGTATAGCTGAGCTTGAAAGAAAGCAAGGGATATCCCCAGCAACCCGAACTGAAGTGGAAACTAACAGCAACAGGCTAAGTAAGTATGATATCGGGGACCAGCCACTTCAAGCTTTGGGTTTTAATGGAGGCAACAGACAGGGCCGTGGCCCCATGCAAAATAAGAAGTTGGAATTTAGATTCTCACATAAATTTAGGATTCTGAAAGACTCATTATTTCAGTGAAAGACTAGAAAGACTAGAAAAAAAAATCTGCTTTCCAGGAAAGAGAAGTGGAAAATTTTGTAACAACCTCACCACAAGATGGAAATACAATCCCAATGGGTATGGGTTTTAAATATATACTACTTGGGTGGCTTGGAGTTGAGTTGGAGCGGTTATAATCGGGCAGCACTGGAGCACCTCGCAAAAGCCAGCAGTCTCTCACCTCAGTCCCTCCAGGTCCCCACAGATCGGTTTAGCCAAACATGGGGTCACAGTCTAAAAATCACAAAACCTGTAAATATGCTAAAAATGTTCACAGAGAAAAAAGATGCAATTGAAAACCTAAGCGAGAAATGAGAAATGACCAGAAAGGATTAGGGGGGAAGAAAAAGGGAAGAACCTGACAGATTTGAAAAGGAACAAAATACCTTTGGAAATGAAAAACGTAATTGGAATTTCAATGGGTAGGCTAAAAAGGAGAGTAGACACAGATGAGAATTAATGAACTAGAAGTTGGCTCTGAAGAAATTACTCAGAATGGATAGACTAGGAAATAAGAACATTTTACGTAAGTTAGAATGAGATGGTCTAACACTGTAAACATTTAAAAAAATTCTACACTTTACAATTTCATTAAATATATTCTCAGTGTTGGGGAACCATCTCCACTATCTATTCCCAGAACTTTTTCATCATCCCGACAGAAGCTCTGTTCCCATTAAATAATAACTACCTATTCTTTCCTCCCCCCAGACCCTGATAACCTCGGTCCTGCTTTCTCTATGAATTTGCCCGTTCTAGGTGCCTCATATAAGAAGAGCCATATAATGTCTGTTCTTTTGTGAATGGCTTATTTCACTTCACGTAAGGTTTCCAAGGTTCATCCATGAAGTCAAACAAGTTTTTAATAGGCGATACTGAAGAAATACAATATTGAAAAAGATAACAGCAGAGAATTTCCAGATTCCTCAGATTCATAACAAATCCCAAACAGGATAACACGAAAACACATTTAGGCATATGATGGAACTGAATAATATTAAAGACAACAGGGTCTTAAAAGTAGCCATAAAGAACAAGTTACCTACAGAAAGAATATTAAAAACACCATTTATTTCAATGGCAATAATAGAACCCAGATGACAACAGAATAGTGAGTAAAAAAATATGGAGTATCAATAACTATTAATCTAGAATTGTATGTCTAGGGCGACAGATTGCTAGCTGCCCATTGTGCATCCGTCATGCTTCTTCCTCATCAATAGAGCCGTGATGTTGCGGGAGCAACAATGTGCTCACCTAAGAACGAACTTCAGTTTCTAGGCTTACTTGGAGCCAGACCCAATTCTAGCCAGTGAGATGTAGGTACAATTGCTGGGTAAAGTTTCAGAAAAGTTCCTTCAAAGGATCAGACATCTGTTTATGATGAAAAACTCTCTGCAGACAAGGACTAGAAGAGAACCTCTAAATCTGATAAAGGGCATCTACAGAACACCTTCAGAGAGCACCATACTTAGCTGGTGCAATATCAAACATCTTCTCTGTATGACTGAGAGTCAAGTAAACACCTTGCTCTTACCATTCGGTATGACACTGTCCTGGTGGTCCTAGCCACTGCAAAAAGGCAAGAGAAAGAAAGAAAAGGCACAAAAATTCAAAAGGAGGAAGTATTTTGCTTTTGCTGATGTAGAAAATCCTAAAAATCCATAAAAATGCTACTAGAACTAAGTGAATTTAACGAGGTGATAGGCTAGAAGTTTATATAAAAATCTGATGTAGTTCATATAAAAAATCAGTTGCATTTTTATATACTAGCAACAAACAATTATAAAATGAAATTAAAAATTTCATTTGCAATAATGTAAAATAACAAAATTCTTAGTAATAAATTTAACAAAAGCGTGTAAGAATTCTACCCTGAAAACTAAGCCTTGCTGAAATGAATTAAGGACACAACATGTTCATATACTCAAAGACTTGACATTGTTAAGATTCCATTCTCTAAATATATTTATCGATTCATGTAGTACCAATCAATTCCCAACAGGACTTTTTTTTTTGTAGAAATTGAAGAGCTGATTCTAAAATGCATACAGAAATGAAAATGACTTAAAATAGCCAAAAAGATTAAAAAAGAACAAAGTAGTAGGACTTATACTATCCGATTTCAGGACTTACTATGAAGTTATAAAAATTAAGCCAGTGTGGCACTGGAGAAAGAATATAGATTAAAGGAAAATAATAGAAAGTTCAGGAATAGACCCACATATACCTGGTCTGATTTTCAACAAAGTTGAAAAGATAATTCAGTGGGGAAATTATCCGCCCCGTTGGGCAGCCCCTGGAGCAATCAGAGCCATAGAGCCAGTGGCAGAATGGTGGTGCCCAAGGGCTGGAGGAGAGGGGTTTGGAGAGTTCCTGTTTCATGGACACAGTCTCCACAGGGCATGGCAGAAAAGTTCTGGGGATGGATGGTGATGATGGCTGTACAACAATGTGCTTGTACTTAATGCCACAGAATTAAACACTTAAAAATGAAAAAATTTTCAATTTTATGTTGTATATTTTTATGTCCTATACATTTTACCACAATAAAAATTTCTTAAAAGTAATTTTTAAAATGGTGTGACACAACTGTAGATACCAAAGGGGAAAATACAAACATAAACCTTTTGTTTGACACAACAAACAAAAATTAGGTTGAAATTAGTCATAGACCTAAATGTAAAAGTTAAAACTTCTAGATGAAAACACAGGAGAAAATTTTTATCTTGTGATAGGCAAAGATTTCTTAGGACACAAAGAATATGGCAATAAAAGAAAAACATAAATGGATTTAATGCCAATGAAAACTTTTGTTTTTTACAAGAGACTGTTTTTTATGAAAGTGAAAAGGCAAGCCACAAAGTCAGAGAACTTTTCCAATGCACGTCTTACAGAAAACTTACATCCAGAGTATATACAGAGTTCCTAAATTTTAACAACTCAAACTATCTGATTTTTAAAAAATGGGCAATAGTCTTGAAAGAAACTTCACAAAAGAAGACATACGAATGACCAATAAGCACATAAAAAGAGGCTCAATATCATTTGTCATAAGGAAAATGCAAATTCAGACACACAAGGAGAAACACTTACACATGGCAAAAATGGCTAAAATGAAAAGGACAGGCAATCGCAAGTGCTAACAAGGATATGGAGGGACAGAAGAAGTCGGAATGTAAAACGGTACCACCATTCTGGAAACCTGCTTGCTGATTTCTTAAAAAGTCAGCATACATTTGCCATAACACATAGCCATTCTATTCCTAAGTATTTACCCAAGAGAAATGAAAGCTTAAGCACGAAAACTTGGGCACAAATGTTCATAGCAGCTTTATTCATAATTGTTCCAAATTGGAAACACAAATGGGCACTTCAACAGATGAACTGATAAGCAGACTGGTATTTTCATAAAATGGACTGCTACGCAGATCAAAAAGAATGAACTGAGTGGAATTTACTGATAGGAGGGCTTCCCTCAGGATGGAGGGTGGGGAAGGGGACTGTGGCAGCCTGGAATGCCCCGTCATCGAGGAACTTGAGAAGGACGGACTAGGAATCACCATTTTTAGCAAAACTAAGCCCTTGCAGCAGTGACTGCTTCTCCTCCTCTGGCCCAGGGGTCTCCCCAGCCCCCCAGCCACGCTTAGGGAGCAGTTCCCTGCCCTGGAGCTGCAATCAGCTGACCCGGCCCCGCCCCCCTCCAGCCAGTCCCACTTCCCAGCAGCCTTCCTGTCATTTAAGCTGTGGGCCGACTCTTTAACTTTTGTTGGATTTTCCATCTTCTGATTCCACCTGCATCATGTCTTCCAGAGATCCCGTTAAACTGCCGTTCCATTCACAACCCATGTGCCTTTCTTCCAATGCCAGGAAGGGTTATTTAAAAGTATACACTTTTCTGTTTAACACTACTGTATTGTACAGTTAAATGGGTAAGATAAGAAATTGTAGTCCCTGAATTCTGACAACACGACTCCTTTTCTTTCATCAGGTTTCAAGAGCCAATACGTCTCCCTTCCAGGCCGAAAGCGTTCACTCTCCGGAGGGGAGAGGGCCGGCCTCAGGGAGAGTGCCCGGGCTGGAACCACGGCTCAGCCACCCCACGCCAGGGGGGCCTGGGGGAGCTTCTCTGCCTCTCGTGTCTCCCTGTGTGCTCTGGTAAGCTGGGGTCAACGGTCAGAATTGTTTCATTCCTTCATTCATCCTGGCCCCGTGCCCTGTTTTGGGTGCTGAAAGAATTTACTACCAGACATCATTAAAAACTTTCTGAAGTGTGTACTTTCAGGAAGAAGTAAATTCAACCAGGAAGGAAAGAGTGGCACGCAAGAAGGAACATGAATAAAGAAACTGGTTAACATGTGGCTAAAGTTAAACTACTGATAGTGATGGTAACAATATTAACAATGGTTAATTTGGAGGCAAAAACACAACATGGACAAAACCTGTAGGATAAGAGGAGTGACCACCGGTTAAAATACTCTGAATTCTTATTACATGCAAGGGAGGTAGAGGCACTGATTAACCTGAGGCTTTGTTAATTATGCATGTGGAAAATTTGAGTGTATTTATAAAAATGATAGAAAGAGAATGCCTAACTTCCAAACCAATGGGACTTGAGGGAAAGGGAAAAACGAAAACTCGATCCAATGCAGGGCAGAAAGGGAGAAAAAGTGGCATAGTGAAAAAAGATAGACAACACAGAATAAGATGGTGAAAGCCAATTAAAACTTATCATTAATCACAATAAACACGCCATTAAAGGTTGAAAGGTGTAAGCCTGGCTTTTTAAAAAAAAAACTAGTTTTGCATATTATTTATGAACCACACATCAGAATATAAGACGTACAAAGGATAAAAGGAAAATGATGGAAAAAGATATATGAGGTCAGTACTCACAAAGTGCTTGGCTATATTGATTATCAAGGAAAAAATTAAGGCAAAAAAATTACTAAGGATAAAGAGGAGTATGATACAAAGATAAATGCAACAATTTATTAGGAAGGTATAATAATCCTAAACATACAGCATTTAAAACCAGTCCCAAGATAATATAAAACCAAAATTGGCAAAATTTCATGGAGCGACCGGTAAAGCCACACCATAGTACTGGGATTTTAGTCCACCTCTCTTGATAATTCATAAATCAAGCCAATAGAAAATTAGAAAATACACAGAATATTTAATGAGCTTGATATAATGGAGATTATTTACATACCTATCTCCTTGCATTCAGTAATTCCTATTGAACAGATGGGAAACCTTTACAATAGACCCTGTACTTGGCCACAGAGAACGTCTCACAAAACCCCCACAGGTCAGTGTGACACAGACCGTTTCCTCTGACCATGATGCAATAAAATAAGACCAAGGGTCAGTCCTCCCTCCAAAAAACCCTAGTACACATTTAAAAATTTAAATAAGCATACTTTTCAGCAATTCCCAAGCCAAAAAAATATAACTGATATTGGAAAATCAGAGTAAGATAAAATTTCAAATACTAGTTATCAAGACTTAAGAGACATAAGTAAAGTAGTACATTGAATTTTATAGTCTTAAATGCTTAGTGTCCAAAAAGAGAGAGATTAAAAATTGATTTAAATGTCCAGATCAAGAAATTAGAAAAAGAATCATAACAAAATTTTTTAAAAGTAGAAATGAACAGAACAGAGTAAAACAGAAAACAGAGATGAGAAAGAAAATGGTTGTTTAGAAATAGATTTGTTCTCCTAGAAAAAGAAAACTTAAATCAGACTCAGGATTAAATAGAACCTAAATACCCTGACAGACGAAGTAACTAGAAGTAGCAAAAATTTCCCCACAAAAAATAAGCAGATCTAGGCGGTTTTATGGTCAACTGAACACTCACAGATTCCTACCCACACGACCTGCTCTGGGTTTGGGAGAGCGCCTGGCCTGGAGAGAAAGCTAAGGGCGAACAGCGTGCAGACAAGGTTGTAGCTTTGATTTGTCCTTTCAGCAAATATGTGGTGTGCACCCACTGGATGCCACACACACTCCCGGGCCTTGGACACATCAGTGAACCAAAGGGGAAAGCTCCTTCCCCACGAGGACTTACATTCTGGTGGGTTCAGACAGACACTGAACAATGGACACAAATCAGTGAATTAGAGTGTGCTACAAGACAGCTGATCCTGGGGAAGACAGAAGAGGGTCAGAGTGAGGGGTGCGCAGCCTGGGGGCAGATAGATCCTCTGAGAGAGGAGGGGAGGGCAGCCAGGGGAGGGCCCAAGAGCAAGACACCCTACCTGCTCCTCTGTGAGTTGTCGTGGAGACCAAGAAGGTGGGGCTCAAGGGGCACTCAGGTGAGAGAGGAGAGAAAACATGCCTTGGAGTGAGCTGCATGGGATGGGGACTGACAGTGGGTGCCAGGCTACTGTGGGTTGCCCCATGCTGGCTGGGACTGGGGGAGGAAGGGCCCCCCCTGGAAGGTAAAAGGAGGGGTGGCATGATACAGGAGGGGGACCCGTCTGAGTTGGAGGGAGGAGGCGAGTGGCCTGGCCAGGACAGAGGGTGTCTGGCAGCAGCACAGTGAATGCTGAAGCAGATAAGAGTGGAGGCCACGGGCAGCCAGGGTGGTGGCCTGGGAGACTGTGGGGTGGGGGTAGGGGTCCTTGCCGGGATGGGCCTGCTCCTGTGCAGGAGGTGCTTTGAGCACATGAGCTCCCCCAAGCTCTGTGAGGCTTCTTTTGGCTGAAGGCTGGTGTGGCAGAGAGTGGGGAGAGAAGTGGGGATGGTGAGAACGATGGGTCTTCTGCAGTCTTTGTCCTGATGGGAGGGGCAGGGAAGCGGAGGGGTTGTGGGGTTTAGTGAATCCTCACCTTCAAGGGTGGGGCTGGGTCAGGGAGTGGGGCAAGGGCAGGCAAAGGGTGGCATTGCCGGGGAGGTGGAATCTGGCGGACCTACTGAGGAGGGGGAGGCAGGGGCTTCTCGGGAGGACGAGGAGCAAGGGGTCTTTTGGTCTCAACAAAATGAAGGGCAAAGACAACCCCAGTCCCTGGGGCTCCTCCTTAAAACCACCAAGTTGCGGAGATGAAAGGACCAATGTGGGTAAAGTGCTTCTGACTATTGTTATTTTTGCTGTTTGCTGGGGTGGTGGTGGGAGTGTGGCAGGCTTGGAATTCGTTCATTTTGTGCCCATCCGGTGTGCCAGGCACTTGGCAGAACCACGGCTGAGCAAGGGCTCTGGTGGTACCCAGGGCACAACCAGGCCCAGCGGAGCCTGGAGATCAGGAGTCTGTTGGTCGCTGGTCTGCAGAGATGTGAGGTTTCCTCTCGGCAGCCACAGCACAGGACTCGAGTGGGACTGCTGGACTCACCCAGAACAGTGGGGTGACAGGGGAGTCATGGGGAGGACAGGGGTCCCTGTGAGGTCCAGGCTGGGTGGGCAGGGCAGAGTGTGGCTATCCAGGACACGGGCAGGTTTGCAGGGACAGGTCGGGGGAATCTCAGGCTGCTTTGAGTCTGGTTGTGGGGACAGGGGCAGGCTCCTCCCTTCAGTGCCATCAGGAATCAAGGACTCTGGTGAGTGTGTCCATGGCCTTGCCACCAGCCAGTGGGACAAAAGGCAGGTCCCCAGAGGCTGTGGTGAGAGGAGTAGGGGAGGACAAAGAGGGGCAGGTGGGGCAGCTCTGGGGTGAGCAGAGAGTTGGGGGCGTTGGTGACTTGGGGAGGGAAGATACAGGGCAGGAAGGTGGAGACGTGAGAGAAGCCAGGAAGCACTGGCTTCCTCTCTCCAGGGCTTGGCTGCAGGAAACCCAGCCCTCCTGCTTTCCAAGGTGCTTCCTGCAGATAAGTGGGCTTCCGACTGCCCCTTCCTGCTGCCCCCTTTCCCCACCCCTCCCATCCTGCCCAGCCCCCAGGGGATCCTCAGCTTCCCTACTCAGGCCAGGCCAGTGGCCTTGGGAAGAGCCTGGAGGGGGCTGGTGGGAGATCTGGCCATCCTGGGGCCACACTTCCCGGCAGGGAGCATCCGCCCAGGCTTCGGGAGAAAGCAGGGCCAGACCCACAGACAACGCTGGAGATTCGTCTCTGTGGGGTCAGTGGAGTCCTGGGAAGCAGAGCTTTCTCCTGAAGGGTGTGTGTGTGGGGGAAGGGAGAGCCGGGGTTCCCTCCGGGGTTGGTGCGGTCCTGGGGAAGGGTGTTTTGAGGGCCGAGCGGTGGGTACCGGGGGAGGGGCTTTGTGGCCGGCAGGTAGAAGTCACGGTGGCTCTAGCGGGAAGGGGTGTCAAGCACGGGTCAGTGTGGGTTCATTCAAGTTTATTCCTGGGACGCTCAGGGGACTGGGCTACTGTGATCAGGCGGGTGGGGCTGGGCTCAGGGGCTGTGTTCTACCAGGAGCCAGCGGGTGTCCCCAACCTGGGTTGTTCTGTGAAGGTCATCACTGTGTCCTGGGTGAGGGTGAGCGTCGGCGGGCAGGGTCAGCGCCTGTTTCTTGTTGGGGGGCAGTAACGGCACGTTGGGGGACTTCAGTTGTCAGGGACTCTTTCTCAGGAGATCAGAGACATTCGTGGTTCAGGGGCTGCGCTTAGCTCCCGGGGACCCTGGGGCCACAGGGTTTACAGCACGGGAGTTTCCGAGAGGCTTATCAGTGTTAGGGGGGTGTGTGTCCATGGCCTTGCCACCAGCCAGTGGGACAAAAGGCAGGTCCCCAGAGGCTGTGGTGAGAGGAGTAGGGGAGGACAAAGAGGGGCAGGTGGGGCAGCTCTGGGGTGAGCAGAGAGTTGGGGGCGTTGGTGACTTGGGGAGGGAAGATACAGGGCAGGAAGGTGGAGACGTGAGAGAAGCCAGGAAGCACTGGCTTCCTCTCTCCAGGGCTTGGCTGCAGGAAACCCAGCCCTCCTGCTTTCCAAGGTGCTTCCTGCAGATAAGTGGGCTTCCGACTGCCCCTTCCTGCTGCCCCCTTTCCCCACCCCTCCCATCCTGCCCAGCCCCCAGGGGATCCTCAGCTTCCCTACTCAGGCCAGGCCAGTGGCCTTGGGAAGAGCCTGGAGGGGGCTGGTGGGAGATCTGGCCATCCTGGGGCCACACTTCCCGGCAGGGAGCATCCGCCCAGGCTTCAGGAGAAAGCAGGGCCAGACCCACAGACAACGCTGGAGATTCGTCTCTGTGGGGTCAGTGGAGTCCTGGGAAGCAGAGCTTTCTCCTGAAGGGTGTGTGTGTGGGGGAAGGGAGAGCCGGGGTTCCCTCCGGGGTTGGTGCGGTCCTGGGGAAGGGTGTTTTGAGGGCCGAGCGGTGGGTACCGGGGGAGGGGCTTTGTGGCCGGCAGGTAGAAGTCACGGTGGCTCTAGCGGGAAGGGGTGTCAAGCACGGGTCAGTGTGGGTTCATTCAAGTTTATTCCTGGGACGCTCAGGGGACTGGGCTACTGTGATCAGGCGGGTGGGGCTGGGCTCAGGGGCTGTGTTCTACCAGGAGCCAGCGGGTGTCCCCAACCTGGGTTGTTCTGTGAAGGTCATCACTGTGTCCTGGGTGAGGGTGAGCGTCGGCGGGCAGGGTCAGCGCCTGTTTCTTGTTGGGGGGCAGTAACGGCACGTTGGGGGACTTCAGTTGTCAGGGACTCTTTCTCAGGAGATCAGAGACATTCGTGGTTCAGGGGCTGCGCTTAGCTCCCGGGGACCCTGGGGCCACAGGGTTTACAGCACGGGAGTTTCCGAGAGGCTTATCAGTGTTAGGGGGGTGCTGACATGCTCCAATCGGGCGGTGGTGCCTGAGCTAGTTTCCTTACTGCGCTCCCCTCTCCTCCGCCCACTCATCACCCCTCCCGCGTTGCCATGACAACGAGTAAAACTAAAATTCACTTCCCCTTTGCAGGTGGAAACTGGTAGCGCCCCCTCCCCTAAGCCCTTCCTCATAGGTCGCGCCCCCATCCTGTCGTCTCTAAGGTGACGGGGAAGGGGGTGACAGGCGGTTGATCCAGACTGACCAGGGGGCCTGGAGAGGGGGGACAAGGACAGGAGGGCCTCAGAGTGCAGAGCGAACTCCCCAAACTCTGGTAGGGGCGGGGGAGCCGCGCTGCAGGCCACTCGGCGTGGTCGTCATGGTTGAATCTTAGGGTTAATCAGCTCCGGCTGCCGGAGAGCGCCTGGCCCTCCGCGGCCCCGAGGTGCCCCCGCCGGTCCCACCCCCAGGGCTGGACCCCGTCATCTCCCGGGCCTCCACCGGGGTGGGATGGGAGGTCGGTGGAGTGGAGGAGAAGCTGCCATCTCCGGAAATTAATTCTGTCTTTCTCTCCCCTCCCTGCCCTGCCTCAGCCCTGGTGCCCACGGCGGCCCCCATCCCCGCTCCAGGACCCCCCTCGCCACCGCATTCTCCCCGGCGGTCCGCGGACGCTCGCCCGCCCGTCCGCAGCCGAAGGGCGGTGCGGCCCTCGCTGCTCAGCCACTCCCCCAGCCGCGAGGCCTAGGGCTCCCCACGCCCCCGGCGCAGCCCCCAGGGAACCCGCCCAGGGGCTCGGCCCCGGCCCCGGCCCCCCGCACTAGCCTTCGCACCTCGCCCCGGGACCCCGCGCGGGGCCCCCAGCCCTCCCGGTCCCCAACGCGGGCGCGGCCCCAAGCCGCCCCCGCTTCCCTCCCGGCTCAGGCCCCCTCCCCCCGCCGCCCCCGCCCCCGGGGAAGGCAGGCGCCGCGCTGAGCCGGGGCCGATGCAGCTGAGCCGCGCCGCCGCCGCCGCCGCTGCCGCCGCCGCCGCCGCCCCTGCGGAGCCCTCGGCGCCGCTGCCCCCCGCGCCGGCCCCGGCCCCGGTCCCCCCCGGCCCCTTCCCGCGCAGCGCGGCCGACGGGGCTCCGGCGGGGGACCAGGGGGGGCCGGGGCGCCGCGCGGAGCCCCCGTGTGCCCCGCTCCTGGCCGCAAGCAGCCCCGGCCCCGGCCCCTGCGCGGGGATGGACGGCCCCGGGGCCAGCGCCGTGGTCGTGCGCGTCGGCATCCCGGACCTGCAGCAGACGGTGAGCCCCGTCGCCGCGGAGCCGGCAGCGCCCCCGCGCACCCGCCCGCGCGCTCAGAGTCGGGCGCTGGAGACCCCAGACCCGCGGCTACTCACCCCTCCCCCGCCGCCTCCGCCGGGACCCTCCCCATCGCCAGGGGCGTGGCCTGGGAAGCACCGCCCCCGGGGCGGGCCCTCGCCTGCTGGACGCGGAGGCTAGGGGTCCGCCGCGTGGTCTCCGGAGCCCCGGACACCCGCAGGGCCCCAGGGACTCCGTGCCCAGCGCCGGGCCGGGCGGGGCCCATCCGCGCTCGTCGGCGCCGAGCTCATGAACCCGCTCCGCCGCAGAAGTGCCTGCGCCTGGACCCAGCCGCACCCGTGTGGGCCGCCAAGCAGCGCGTGCTCTGCGCCCTCAACCACAGCCTCCAGGACGCGCTCAACTATGGGCTTTTCCAGCCGCCCTCCCGGGGCCGCGCAGGCAAGTTCCTGGACGAGGAGCGGCTCCTGCAGGACTACCCGCCCAACCTGGACACGCCCCTGCCCTACCTGGAGGTGAGCAGCCGGCCGGGGCGCGCGGCAGGGGGCGGAGGAGAGCGCGCAAGGCGCGACCACCGAGCTCCGTGACACCAGCAGCGAAGGCACACTGACGGAGGAGTTAGTGTGGGAGTGGTGGGGGGCTGTGTGCGGTGTCTGCAGCGTGTGCGGTGTGAGCAGCGTGCACTGCGCATGGTGCGCCAGGAGCGGCGTGTAGTGCGCGCAGTCAGCAGCAGCATAGGCAGTGGGAACGCAGCGTGGTTCAGGAGTGAGTGCCCAGAGGGTATGTGGGGTGAGTCAACGCGTTATCTAAGTGCGCCTCTGCCCCCTGGAAGCAGACGGGTCCAAACTCGTTTGCAGTTGAGTGCCCTGTCAGGCATCGGGACACAGACTCTTAGTTTGGGAGGCAAAGCAAGTACAGCGAGCATTGAAATAAACATCATGGTAGCTGAGCTCAAAGTTGGCTTGGCCTCCGTCGTGGCACAGGAAGTAAGGTCATTCCTGCTTAGAGTGGGTGTCTAGGAAGGTGAGCCTGGACCAGCGTCATGGAAGAGGAGTGGGACTTCCCATGGAGTCTCAGGGATGGGAATGAGGCAGCAAGGGCCTTGTAGGCCACAGGACAACTAGGCATGCATCACATTTGAGCTTGCACTGGCTCTGTGTCGTTGGTAATGTGTATGGGGTTTGTGTGGCTGGCACGGAGGAGTTCTGTTACCGAGGCTGGCTGAGCAGTGTAAGGTCTGTGCGGCAGGGTGAGCAAATGCGATGCATGCCTAGTTGCCCGGTTTGGTGCATTCACTCACTCAGCCCAGGTGGGTGCCTCTTTTCCCCTTTACCTGAGCAGTTTCGATACAAGAGGCGAGTGTATGCCCAGAACCTCATCGATGATAAGCAGTTTGCAAAGCTTCACACAAAGGTAAGGAGGCAGCCGTGGGGAGGGGACTCCAGAGGTTACCTCCTGCCATGGCCAGTGTTCCCCCACCCCAGCCTTGACTAGTTTTGTGATATAAAAAATATCCTTTAAAAATTCCCTTCTTGAACAAGTAGTGATTTTACAGCATCTTACTAAGCTGATGGACAGTGACTAATGGGGTATGTGGGGGGGACTTGGTGAAGGGGGGAGTCTAGTAAACATAATGTTCCTCATGTACTTGTAGATTAATGATACCAAAAAAAAATTCCCTTCTTGAGACCCTTCACCTGCTTCCACCCTAGCTTGGGGCCCAGAATGGACATTAGGGGCTGCGGAAGGGCTAGGGGCATGCAGACTCTGGGCACCATGGGTGTGGGGTGGGCTGTCTGGTCATAGGTTCCCATCAGATCAGACTCTCGCTGGCCCACCGTAGGGGGTAGAGTGCGACGGGCATGGTGAGAATTTGGTGGGAGAGGGGTGAACAGGCATCTGATGTAGGCAGAGGGGGTTCCACCTGTGCTGGTCCCACGAAACGAGGCATCACACTGATTTTCTCCTGAGACTCTTCTCATCCCATTTTGCAGATGAAGATACTGAGTCCCAGAGAAGTTTGGTGACTTGCTCAGAACTGTGCAGCCAGTGAAGCTGGGGCTGAGCCCAGATCTGTCTGACCCTGGCACCTGTGCCCAGGTTCCAGCCAGTGGGCATTTGCTTGCTGCAAACTTTGATGACAGTTTCTGGAGCTGAGGAAAAGGGTCTGAGCACTATCACCCCTGTGCTCAGTGTCCTCTCTGTGACACTGGTACCCAGGGCCCGTGGTCAGAGGCCGTGGCTCTGTGGCTGGGCAGAGACTACTGTGGAAAGGTCCCCTCTCTGCTGGCTGTGGTGCCTGTCACCCTGGGTTCATCCCATAGTTACCTCTCCTCCAAAACTGTCTTCAGTGACCTGCAGGTCCCTGGTGCCTCTTGACCTTCAGTGAGTCCCACTTGCTTTTAGGATGAATTTCAGCTCCTTAGCACGGCCCTGTGTTCCTGCCTGCCTGGGTGCTGGCCAGTCCCTACTGTCACACCGCCCACCCTGGGTCTGCTGAGGGCTTTTCTCCTGATCAGGAGCACCCTCCCTCCTGTTCACTGCCCTGAAACACCTGAGGAGGCCACCTCCTGTGGGGAGGCTCCTGTTTTGGATGCACTTCGAGTGTTTCTAGAAGGTGTGGGGCACGCAGCCTCTGTAGTGTGAGCAGGGGCTCAGTGAGGATAATGCATGGCTGGGTGAACGAATGAACAGTCCGAGGGTGTCACAGGAGGGGCCCCTGGGGTGGGAAGGACCGTTGGGTGGGAGTGTGCCACTGGGGGTGTGTGCTGAGGGTGGTAGTCTACCGTGGGAAGATGGGCCGCAGAAGGAACAGGCCACTGTGGCAGTGATGGGCACGTGGGTTGCTGTGGGGTGGGCTCCTGCCTGGGCAGCTGTGAGTTCTTCAGGCTCGGTCGCCAGGGCTGGGGAGAGGAGCCAGGGTAGTGGCTGAGGTTGGGGTAGTACTTGCTCACTTGCAGGGCATGGCCAGGGCAACCTGGCCTTGAGGAGGGGCTGGCTGGGCTCAGGTAACAGCTGTGGGCTTAGGACATAGGGGACTTCAAGCAGCATGTGGGCTTCATGGGGCTGGGATCAGGGTCATGGAGAGAATGCAGGGCTTAGTGTGGAATGGAGAGTGACAGGCCAAACTGAGGCGACAGATGTCCCACAGGTGGTCTTAGGCCCCAAGTCAGACCGAGGGGGCAGTAGGCATCCCCAGGTGGCCTGAGGTTACTCATGGAAGATGGGTGGTGGTCAGGTGGTGGAAGGATGACCAGGATGGCCGGTATTCCAGGCAAACCTGAAGAAGTTCCTGGACCACATCCAGCTGCACAACACTGACAAGGTGGCCCGCTTGCTGGACAGGGGTCTGGACCCCAACTTCCACGACCCTGACTCAGGAGGTGAGCAGCAGAGCGGGAAGGGGCATGGCCTTGGGATGGCTGGCGATATGACCTTCATCTGTCCCCCCAAACCCAGAGTGTCCTCTGAGCCTTGCGGCCCAGCTGGACAATGCCACAGACCTGCTGAAGGTGCTGAGGAACGGCGGCGCTCATCTGGACTTCCGCACTCGCGAGGGACTCACCGCGGTGCACTGCGCCACTCGCCAGCGGAATGCGGAGGCCTTGACGGTCAGCGCGGGTTGGCCTGGCCAGGGGGGGCGTTGCATGGCCCCGTAGGGGGAGGAGGCTAGGCCCGGCTCAGTGCTGAGGCTCCTCGTCCTCAGACCCTGCTGGACCTGGGCGCTTCGCCTGACTACAAGGATAGCCGTGGCCTGACACCCTTGTACCACAGTGCTCTGGGAGGTGGGGACGCCCTCTGCTGTGAGCTGCTTCTCCATGACCATGCTCAGCTGGGGACCAATGATGAGAACGGCTGGCAGGAGATCCATCAGGTGGGCAGGGAGCGTGGGGGTGGGGAGTGCCAGCCTCTGTCTGGTGGGTGAGGTCCCGGGCTCTGTCTGTAAGACGGGGGTCCTGGGCTCTGGGACCCAGCAGCACCTGTTTCCTCAACCAGGCCTGCCGCTTTGGGCATGTACAGCATCTGGAGCACCTGCTCTTCTATGGGGCCAACATGGGGGCTCAGAATGCCTCAGGGAACACCGCCCTGCACATCTGTGCCCTCTACAACCAGGTGACTGCTTGTGTGTGCACAGGTGACCCTGTACAGCGACTACATGTGTGCATGCCTGGCTCTGTGTGTCACTCCAGGAGTGCACCTTCTGTGTCCTGCAGTGACCTACGGCCTTGTACCCTGCACGAGCACGTGTGTGAGTTGTGTGCTTCTGGGCCAGCTGGGACTTTTGTGTGTACACCTGACATTCCACGCTATGCATGCGTGTACTGAATGCATGGGTGGTGGTGTGCGCTGCCCTCTGTGTGTGAATGTGCTGTTGAACCTTGACCCCTCCTGCCAGCTGCCCTGTGGGGACCCCCTCTGACCCTCCCAACAGGAGAGCTGTGCTCGTGTCTTGCTTTTCCGTGGAGCCAACAGGGACGTCCGCAACCACAACAGCCAGACGGCATTCCAGGTACAGGAGCGGCCTCCAGGGTCCGGGGCTGCTGCCTCACCTTCCTGGACCTTGGTTCTTCCCCTGTGAGTGACCAGGGAGCTTCCTCTCCAGGACAGCCAGGGTGAGGTGGAGGACGTGGGCGGCCAGCACAGGGCCCGGCTCGGGTGGGTGCTCGCTCACGGC